AGAACAACAAGAACAACAAGAACAAGAACAAGAACAAGAAGAACAAGAACAAGAACAAGAACAAGAACAAGAACAAGAAACAACAACAACATCATCACAATGGTGGACTACTAGATCCCTTTGGAGAAGATGAATTCGGAGAGGGTTGCCAAAGCTCGTTGGACCACATCCTGGATTTTAACATGATCCGTCTCGGCTGAATCCTCCAAACTCTGAATTCTCATTACTAGCCGAGACATTGAATGGTTTACAAGCCCACAAGGGATTAACTGCCTGTTGGGACTATTGACTAGTGGGAAACTGTTTCGTGCCAGCCGGGCCTAAAACTCAAACAACATCTTGAACCCGATGATGTGTTCGCACAAACCCTGAGCCTCAGGGCCCTGAGCACTTCACTAGAAGACCATGAGGCAGTACCCAACTCAGTCTTCCTTGTCTGAACGCATGCAACATCGGGAACGGAGAATGGCGAGTCCGGATTGATGCTTCATCCACTCCGGCTCTCCTGCAAAGCCTCCTCCGAGGACTGCAGCTTCTTCGCGAGCTCATCATTTGTCGCCTCCAGCCAGACACTGCACGGCACAGGCACATGCGACACTGCTGATGGTTTTACGCATGGCTGACAGTACGCTGCTGCCCCATGCAAAGCCCTGAACGTGTGGAATCTTGCAAACAACGCTCCTCGTCGCTCCTTCACTAGGCACTGCCACCCCAATCACGAAGCTGTGGATAAAAATGGAAGGAAGCATCGTCGAAATCTGTCCGTGGCTGATACTGCCCATTCTTCAACTCAAGCAAACCGAAAACTAAAGTTAATCCTACTTGCGCGGAAGTCTGGATCAAGCTGCATGCAGTTTCTGCGCTGCGAGCATAGATTCCCGGAGCTCACTCTCATGGTTCTCGACCTGCAGGTCGAAACCCAACTTATTGCGGCCCTTGCGATCGTTGCTTCCCTTCTGGGCTGACTGCTTCCGCGGCCTTCTTTTGGGCAGCGACGAGCTGTGCGGCAGCATCGGCAGCCTCAACCTTGCGCCGCCAACTACATGCAATACTTCGCGGTGATTGCAACCACACACACACACAGAATTTACATATATATATATATATCGCTATAGTTTCGTTCATGTCCCCCACAGTTGGTCTGCACTTGTTCACTCCAACAGCACAGGCGACCACTTCTTAGACTTGCTGTGCAAGCGAATCGCTTCCATTATAATGGACTCAAAATGCGCACAGGACGTCTGGT